TGTAACTTAATAAATAACTAGAGATTGGCTTGTCCGGAACACAATACGTTGTAATAAATTTACTCAAAGTTAGTGTACACGCATCGCCGTGAATGCGCGGAATGCACTCAACATCCTGAAATCGATTTACCTTCTCTGATTTTATTTGACATCGTTTTCGTCATAACTACACAGAACGAGCAACGCACGAAAGATTGCGTTATCTATAATCGAAATTAATTTTACATTGGTGCAGTGGGTGCGTTAACAACCTGGGCGATTTTGGCACCGCGCACTCGCGTTCGCTGTCACAGTTTGTGGCAGTTGAAAATATCAAGTGTATAAACATGTCATAACAGTTAAAACAATCTAGGATGGTGATGGCGGTGATGGCGAGCCGTCCGACAAAGAGACGCGCCCGCGCGGTAGCAAATCGCCGCCCGTTGTGGCGGCGCCGACGGCGGTAACGGTGGCGGCGGTGTGCTTGATTATATTACTTGCATAGATAGCGTGCAGCATGAGTGAGCCGAGCGTGACATGTTGGAAAGCTTTTAGTTGTTCAATTTTCTCTTCGTTATGTGCGCGGCTAAACGCTGACGGCGTTGGTGGCGGCAGCGGCTGCCGGTGGATTTTGTTCAAGTTCCCAGCGATTGTACTTGCGGATATTTGTTCTCTATGAGTCGTTTGTGGAAACTGCAATCGACAGCTCGTTAGGCAGGTTTTAGTTGCAGCGAACCTTTATAATCTCTGCTTATTCGTGCGTCAATATTATGTTGATGTCAGTAACGTTTTTGCATAGTTAATTAACTATTTATAATTAAATTAATTAACTATCAGTAATAATTGCGTTATCGTCTCTATATATCAGCATATAAAAGCTGTCGATAATTCTGTTGATTGAATTATTCGCTTTTTTCGAATTAATTAACTAGATTGATCAAACTGAGGCAGGAGGTGTGGAAATTCAGTTGATTAATATCGCCATTTATGATTTAAAGTAGTTTTCAAAGAGTATTTGTTTGAGATTTTAACTGCTAAACTTTCAACAGAGATTAAAACTCATAATCTCCTTTCAGCGTCTTGTAATGCAATCACGAGATAATTTTATATCATAAAGGAATTAAAAAGAACGCAAAAATATTCAGGAAAAATTACGAACGTACTTTTATCTATTTTACTGCCCTTTGCCATACATCGTCAGCATACACGTCTGCATCTGTGTCGGGTTTACAAACTGCCACCCCATCCACACTCTACGCTGTGGTTGCAGTTTAATGATGGTTTGCGTGTGTGCCGGTGGTAGTTGCATCCCTGGCGTTTTGCGTCGGTTGATTCGTGCGCGCTCCGGAATTTGATTTCGCGCGCGCGCTCCCATGGCCGTAATCTCCATGTTAAGGGATGTTTAACTTTATTACGCCCGTCGTTAATGTTCGATCTTTATTGCGCATCTGTTTGGAAAGCATCGCCGCCCGACCGAGATGATTTTTTACTCTCTCGACTTAAGTGAAGTTTAATGCGAGACGCCGCCGCGCACAAACCGAGCAAAACGAAATCAACAACATGAGCGCACGGAATGAAAGACGATGGTGGATTTTAGAGCGTAGTAATAAATTTTATTTCGATAAATTGCGTTTTTCAACGGGGTTTCAAATTGCTTACAACAAAATTAAAGTAAACTTTATTTATGGCTCAGCAAACATTAATTAAGCTCAACATTTATGCTTACAAGATTCTTCATGTTTCTGAATGTTCCAAACATTATCAACGAAATCACACTGATTTTTGCAACTGAACAAATGTCTCATTACGTGGTCCTCCATAAATGCAAAATTAGTGCATTTTGTGCTCGCGCAGTGCGCGCACATTAATTTTTTTCCGTCACGCTGTAAATCTGCTCCGATCGACTGATGTAATTCCATATATTTATTATTATTGTCGGGCGTTAATGGCGCATTCGAAATGCATTGTGCGCAGTTCACGTGTCCATATTCGCACTGATATATCGGCGGCGTCATCGTAACATTACACTTGGGACACTTAATTCTCAATTGCGCATTCGATATCGCGGCAAATTTATGCACGTTTTTCGATATCATTATTCGATATTCTATGCCATCGTAATGCGGGAGAATGATGGCTTTGTTCAGTGGTCGGTTGGTGTATGTCACTCGATTTGAGCACTGGATATCATATATTATTTCTGGTGTCACTAATCGACTCGACAGTGGATGCACTAAAGTCATTTTTATGTGATACTTAACACAGATTATTTCTAAAATGAACACCTGGCATCCAGCGATGAAGACGTGATGGATATTTTTATTAACTCGGAAGCTCTTTGTGCGAAGATTGTTATTGTCACTGACGAGGTAATTATCTGGATGATTTTCGCGTACGTGGCAGGGTAATTTGACAATCCAATTTGTCCAGGCACAGGAATCAATCGGGCACGATGTGATCAGTTCGCTCGATGTCATGACGACTGCTATTTTAACTTCAAAAACGTTTCAACTGTTAACTATTGACAATACATAGGTACTTGTGTGCACTGATCAAATACCAAATATCAACTAATTGGTTAGAATAGAATTTGATGGAAGTTATCAACACACATTCCTTATCTTATTTGTTTAGATATTGAATCAATGTTTACCTGATTATATAACAAATTTGCCTACGCGAGACTGAAGAATATATAGAAAATTATCACCTGCGCAGTCCCTCACGTATAATTCAGATGAAAACGAAATTAAGCCTCTGTTGAACAGATGGGTTGCGCGAATCAACGCGAATGTAGTAATTCCAACGAAAGCTGTACGATTTTGATCGGTTTACAATATTCATCAAAAATAACTGAGCCGTGTGCGCTCTAACACGTCGGCGAAGCGCATTTGGGTGTTGTTTATTTGCTACTCAATTGGTTACCATTTTCCAATATTAATCCGCCAAGGACTGAATGGTGGGTCATGTACAGTTAACAATGATTACCTATTTCATGAACGATTGGCAATAACGTCCTAATTGAAAACCATCAGGATTCACAAAAATAACTTGAATATTTATATGAATTGTCATTTTTGACAATATCAACAAAAAAAAAATCCATAAATGTCGTTTAGGAAACACCTCAGCCAACGTAGGAATTTATTCCGTAATGTAATCGATCAGTATCGTATAGCATGACCAAAGCATTTAAACATAAATAAAACCCGTAATTAATTGACAACTATCTGACAAGCAGCCAATGCAGGAATTAAACGACTCTTCCCTTCTGCAATTAAATGCACATTAGGCATCCAATCAAATAACCGACCAGAACATGACTACTGAATAATGAATAATTTTAGAACTGCTCTACAATTATTATTCGACTGGACGGCGATGGTAATTAATTTCCATATTGATTTTTACCTCGTGCGTTTACTTTTTAGGTTTTGCTTTTGCGCTTCCTTGCGAACAGGGAACGGCTCATAATTACGCTGTTACACCACTTCTCGGATGTCATGTTGTTCATGTATAACACACAATGGTCGAAAGCGTTCATGTAGAGCGCGTGTAAAACAACCGCTGCAAACAAGGCGCAAGGAATTAAATTATATGTAAAAATATTATAATTTCTGCGCTTAGCGTTCCTGTCCAGGCTGCTAAAACCACGTTTTCAATGCAAAGTGAGCATAATAGTCAAGGTTTGGAATTGACGCTGGAATTTGAACCAAAATTCAAATTTAAACGTTTGAGGTCGCTGCAAACCGCGCTTAGTGCGCCCTCTATCGGCATTGACATGTCAGCTCTGCGTGCCTATTGTTTTATTCAATCGCACTGCTGCACTGCATGTCGGTTATGTAAAATTACACAAATCTACATACACTGTGAAGCACAATCTTGGCTTTTCCAAATGACTGTGATGTATCTGTTTATGTAAACTGTGTTGTGGTGCGGTAACAAGTAATATATTCTTCATTCAGTTGTACTTTCAGCTGTTGTAGCTCCTCGTAAGTATAAGAGAATGTGTATAGTTGTGTGACACCCATTTAATTAGCTATGTAATAAGGAAAATATGGGCAAAGTTTTTGTGAGGATGATTTGCGTTTCGACATTATGGTCTTTGACGACGATTCCATTGCACACCACCACTGGACTATGTAAATAAGCACAAGGTAGCTGCGGCGGCGGCTGTACATTCATTCCGCACTCGGCGAGCTTATTGCCTGGAAAATACCTTTTTCCACTTCTTTAATGTATTCATTGGCTTCATAATTATTCTCGGGCGTATGCTTCGCGTTTTGCGCGCGCTCCACATGGAAATTTTACACTCGTCGACTTCCTTCGTCGTTCGTTGGCAACACACGAAATATGCGGACCCGAATTACATCCTACCACCGAACACTATTGAGCACTCAAATCGCAGGCGTCGTGAGGCGATGGCGGCAGAGACGCAGCTCATTTTATTGCCGACTGTAAGCGGAAGGAAGAACTTTTGCTTCACTCGTTTTGCAATTAGATTCGTTATTTATTTGACTCGTCGAAGGCGCGCCTCTTGTTCGTGTGTTTGTTTTGTTTCGTGTTCTTGACTCATGGACACACAACGTTTAGCATGCGGAAACGTTTTGATTTAAGAGTAAACAAAAATCAGCAATTGGTTTCTAAAGTGGTGGATCGGGAGTTGGTTTTATTGTCCATCTTGGGGAGGTTTAACTTCTACTTTTAAGTAATGAGTATTAAGGCAATAAGCCAACCAAGCCTTGGGATGGTTTTAGGTTTGTTGAATAAGTAAACAGCGGAATTAATTAATCATTAAATGAAAGTCGCATGCAACGCAACAAGCTCCAGCGGACGCTGCGTTTATTTGATGTAAATATTTGTTGTTAAAAGTTGGAACGCTAAAAATAACTTTTAAACTTTACCACTACACTGGTAAATAGACATTGTTTGATGAGAAACAAACTTCAAGTTCTGAAGATATGCTAGTTATTTATTTTACATGACATGAAGTTGTAATTTGTGTTTATTTTGAATTTCAGTATCGACAGCATCAATTGAAGAGGTCAGAGCATATGCCGGTGACACGGTGGCATTGCCATGTCGTTTGCACACATCACAGTGCGGTGACCTGCACAGCGTTAAATGGTATCGAGATTCGTCGAGGATTTATGTCTTCAGTCAATCCGGCAGCATATCGAGGGCCGAGGGCGACGCGACAGACAGGTCAGTTACACTATAATAAGATTGCATTCTCTGTTCGGATTGTCGGTATTCGCAACCTTATCTCTGCACGCCTGCGGGGACAAATACGAAAGCAGCAGCCCGAACCGCAGCTGCCCCAGATTAGATTTATATAAGTATACAACTTATTGGATTTATCAGGGAGAATCCGTTATATTTCACGCAAATTTAATGTTTATCTGGATTTACGTTGCATTATCGAGACACGTATAAATATTGGAGACGTTTTCAGCGCGTGGGGTGTCCGCATTATACAGCATACAAAAAGAGATTTATCTATCTTGTAATATTCCGGGATTTTTTTGTGCTGTATATGGGTGGATGTGTGCGCATTTCACATAGAGAAGGACATCAAGGCATTTTGTTTTACGTTCTTTTTTCTGTCGTTTGTCGCCTCTGCTGCACTACTAAACGACTATACCGAATCAGCGTTCGCACGCGCGCGTCCACAATATGTGTACGTCTCTGGTGCGTGGCACCCCCAGCTGTTTCGCAGCAGGATCACGAAACAGGATCACACGCGAATACAATGGGGAACTGGTTTGGTGCTGGATGCAGGCTCGTGCCTCCTGGTGGTGGAAGAGCGAGGGCGATAACTTGACGCAATTTACACGAAACACGATGTGTGCACGCGCTGGTTAGGATGAATATATGCCGTAACAGTAACTGTGTTTGGGATTTTGGGGATTGAAATTATTTATGTTGAAAATTTCGAATTAAAATGCGAAACGAAATGAAAACGCGCGCTCGCCCACGCGCACGCCGGCGTAAATTGTTTTATACTCGCGCGCGCGCGAGAAATCTATGCACGCTTTCATCTTTAATTCCACGCCGAGCTTAACTTCATTTATTTCGCGCACATTTCATTAGTGCTATTTATCTCTCTCGATGCCTCGGCATTCGTTTGCTTTTCACCGATCACGTCGGCCAGGCACACTTCAATTTCTAAACACCCCATTCTACCTAATTTAACGCCATGCCTTTGCGACCGAGTGAAAGATTCTATTCTTTGATTTTCGCCCACCTTCTATTCTATTGGCACACGGAGGGTGACATTCAGCACAGGCAGGCGTTGTGTCATTATGACTCCCCGACACGCGCTGCTTACTCCTTTCATTGACCCATCACATCTCGATAAATAGCCGCAGTAAATTGATTAATTAACGATTAATTACTGCACGTGTTTCAAACTGAAAAGCATGCATAATTTTTAATCACGTATGTGAGTATCACAAATGAAATTTTCGGTGCGAATTGAAATATTTCAGTCGCTACAAACTTTTGCAATTTTGCAAACGCTGTAACTGACGCTTACACGGACAAACATTGCGCATGCAACATGCAACGTTAATAAAGTGTATCACACTTTAAATAAAATACAATTTATAAAAATTATTTAAATTTTGCACCAACATCTTGAATATTATGATAGAATTTAAGTAGTAGACTTTGGAAGAGTATGAGCACGAGTAGATTTTGCGTATCTTAATTATTTAATCCCGTAATAAATCCTTGCGTATTTACGAATATTAGTCTTCGTTAACGACCAACCTCGAGAAAATGTAAAACCTTGGAGTCGGCTTTCCTGAGTCCTGACGAAGTGTACACACCAGTCACGAACCACTCGACGCGGATGAAGGATGAATATCCGTGTCACGACTCGCCTTAATTCATAAGAATTAGCATTTCTGCGTTTGTCTTTGCGGGATCTTCTTAGAATTTTCGAGACCAAACATCAAGGATGCCCAAATAATAATTTAGACGTTTCGTTTACTTTGCCACAATTACCAAGATGATGTAATATACGATATACTTTTATTTCTTTGCAAAGCATATCAAGTTTTGTGGGGTTTCAGGTTTCCGGCAAGCGCAAAAAATACAACAACGTGTACCTAGTACGTGAGTGAGTTACAGACGTACGAAATAAACTTCGCACCGAGAATAAAATACAACTTTCAGCGTAAATCAAAAACTAATTCGGCTCGGCGCAAGCTTTTGCGGTTTATTTCGGCACTTCTTGCCGCTCGTTGCACGCCCATTAAGAGCAAGGATCTGGCGTGCGCACACACGCGCGCCACGTGAGAACTCTGTTATGTAACATTCGGTGTTTCTCTAATCTGTCGTAAATTACCGCTAATTTTATGCAAACTTAAATTACCACAACATTTTGCCGCTATCGTCGCCGGCCAAAACTTAAAATTACATTAAAATCTCTCAAATCCTTCGCCCGACGTTTTGCGTCGTCGTTTTTCGCTTTCAACGCACGCTCTCTAAAGCGCAATTGAACTTGCGAGAACGTCTTCACTGCAAAACATAAATTCAGCGAGTAGTTTTATTGTCGCCGCTGCGTTTGTTCTTTGCGCGCTGTTCTTTTTCTTGTTTATTTTTCGGTGCTCGAGATTCGCCTCTCTTGCTGGCTTTAAGTGCCAGTTTTAAGAACATAGCGTTTAAGACTCGGAATCATTCCGGGATTCCATTAAATTGTTAAACCGAATTGAAGTGAATTTATCGATGGCTATCAACGTTTCCACAGCCCTTAAGTACTTTTTACTTTGCCATTGTTACATTAATACTTTTTTCTGCTAGGCGTGTTTCACTAGTTGCAACAAAAATAGCCCTCTCATCTCTTAAGTGGTGAATTGGGAATATGGGGATTATCGAATGCAATTCGCTCGTGAAATTCGTTTCAATTTCACGTTCGTTTTTATATTTGGCGAACTAATTAGGTTGCGGCACTCGACTACTGCTGCAGAGGTGTTTATGTTATAAATTCGTAATTCGCTCGCGCCGTGGCTTGCGCTTAACCAACGTAAATATTTAACCAGGGCCGCCTTAACAAAACACACCAAGCCCGTGTCTTGTGCGGCAGTCACGCACGTGTGTAAGTTTGCAGGGTGGCACGTCCTGATGGAGGCGGACATAATAAGGCTCGCGCTCTAAAACTATCTAACGGCTCCTACACACGATCACTTCTTCGAGCAAGCAACATAGAAATTTAAACACTCCCTTCGAACTTGAAGAATGTTCGTGTATGGGAGCTATAACATTTCAACATTTAGCATGCCTCTTCTAAGGCTTGAAACTTCAAGTGCCGCAGATACCAAAACTCAGGATTACATCCTGTGTTAATAACCTGTGTGCAAACGTAAAGGCTTGTGAAATCAAATACATAAATGATTTTAATAAATCGCTCCCAATTATTCAAAAGGATTTTCGCCAAGATTCCGGTGGCTGGCGCTCAGCTGTCGACAAAACGTTTGGAGCGTTTGCTTTGTAAACAGGATTAAGGGATTTGCGTGATTCATTCGTGAAAAATTATTTGAGTGACAAGCAAATGAGGCGTGCGGAAATTTGTTTCATGCTTGCGTTTTTTTCTTCCTCTTTTCATTACGCTGGCGCTGAGTTTGTGCCAACGATCTTCTTGCAATTTTCGCCGGAATTCTATTTATTTGCTTTTTATCTTAAATGTTTACTTAGGAAGTTATAAATTTCGCCCGAGCCGCGCACGCCATAACATATTTCGCGCATTGATATTCTCATCAGTTCTTCTTCGCGCGGTTTCGGTTCTTGGTTTCGTCGCGCTGAAGTCTTTGGATTTGTAATAACCGAAACGTGCTTGGCTTTTGCAATTAGTTCGGCCGCGCCGCGCACACGACGCACCCTTGCCGTATCGGGTGGTTTTATTTTTTGTGGGCGCGCAACAATACGAAACGATAAAGAACGAAATTAAAGTTGGACCGTTATGATCCCACCTTTTTATTGTTACGAAAATACGCTGGCGTTGGCTCAACCATAAATACGAGAAATCTCATTAGGTTTCAAGCCAGCGGCAAATTCGCCACCAAAGTTAATAAAAATAAAATACGTTTATCGTCTCGTGTAATTCGGGCGGATAATTTTGATGTTTTATTTTTATGAAAGCCAATTTAGGGTGCTATCAAAAATTCCGGTTGATATTTCATTCCATGCATTATAAAAGTGAATTTTTATTGAAAAATGCAAAACCTATGGATTATACTTCATAGCTCTGGGGATAGTGTATGGTGCTCTAAATCGAGGAAGCAGCGGTGTCTAAACTTGAATGTCCAATCGCTCCCGTAACGCCCGCAGGCCCAGTGCATTAATTCCCCGAGTAAATAAATCCCACTTGAGAGATGCGATTGCTATGCAAGCTCGGAGGTAATATTTCTACATGCATACATGAGTGCTGCTGTCGGTGGGGGCAGCAGTCACCGCTCGGTTTCGGATGACCGAAAGCAATTCCCTCATCTTCAATTGCGAGCCATAGCGACATTGGGACCGGTGCTATCAGGTTCGATTCGTACGCACACTAAGCCCGGGCTGGTACGGGGTTTTCACCTCGGGCAACGAAATAAGTTCGCTTTATTTCATTTTTCGATCGAATCGAATCGTCAGTTTGGAACGAACGTACCATCCGTTTTCCAGGCTGATTTATGTCGCGTTATTCTCGACCGCCACGTACAGGTCCATCGGTGGCTGCGGCCCCGTCGCTGGTGGCGCGAGTAACGCGATCCATAAAAATAGCCAGACACGCAAATTGCCCTTTTTCCCGGTCATAAGAGATTTGGAATATCCAAGGATAAAGCACCGCTGTTACATTCGGGAGGCAAAAAACAAGTCTGAGTCGAAATTAGTTTTCTGCCCGTTAAAAAACGTTAAATTTTCCTCCAAGTTTATTATTTGCTAAAACCTTGACTTGAAGGCTTTTGCTAGGCAGTCAAAAGTTGCGCGATTTTGCATATAGCAAAAAGCTCAACTGTGACTATCCGCTTGGAGCAGCGGATCATATTCCAATACGGCATCGATTTGAAATAAATCACGAACGGCGCGCAGAAATTATCCTCGCCGGTCCTCGAGGGACCATAATGATAAGTTGTGCGAAGGAACTTCCGATTTGTTTTTGCCCGGGCACGTCCGCCAGCTCGCCGTCCCGAACCGCCCACGCTAATATTGTTTCACGC